TTCGTAGCGAGAACTTTCGTTTGTTTCAGTACAGTGGTGCAAATGATATGCTAATTTTCTCATATCTCTCGTGGTGGAAAGACCGAAATACATCTTGGCTGCATTCTGCATGTACCTGCCTAATTCTTTTTCCTATTCCACAGAAAACACTTTGTTATGAGCTTAGTATTCAACACGTGGCTGCTCATTATTTCCTAAAGAGTTTATGTAACGGTGCAAAGAGACGTGACAAATTCCATATTGCCTTGAAGCAGCTCTTACAGAAACATGGTCATTTAATACTTTATTTGTAGCCTCCTTGTAAATTTCTTGCGGAATACTGCCCCTATTCTTTTTTCTCACTCTTGGTTTCATATTGCTTAGAATAAAAAAAATTACAAGAATTTACGTAAAATTTTTCATTGGTGTCAGTTGTAACATGTTACAATCGCCACCCGTGGTTATGTTACAACTGACACCAACAGACACATCAATTGAATTTTTATCAATAAACTACCTAATCTTAAAATATATATTCTAAATCGTTGATTTCATACACAATTACATGCTGATTTGAATGGTCTAAGTAAACTACACATAAAATACATGCTTAGGAAGATATTCACAAAAGAATCTAAAAATGAAAACTTACTTTATGATGGAAAAACATCATTTATTTTCTTTAATTTCACGTCCTGTTTTCACGAACTATTTACCGTCAACATGTCGAGTAGCGCCAGATGTAACGTGTGTACAAGTTGTTCGCGCTTAACATCGTAGATGGCGGCTGTAGGTCGAATGTTACAAACGACAACCGTTACAACCGTCACCGGTCTCTCCTACGTCTGTTTTTCTATCATCAATTGTGGTTAATAAACAATTTTAGAGTTCACAGAAGAAGCTACTTCTAATGAAAAGAATTATGGTATTTGGTTAGAGTTGTTTAAATTTTAGCGGAACATATTATAAAACCTACATTATCCATAACGTACTCAGTAAATCGGAGTCTTCTTCATGATTCTAGAGTAGACTGTTATGTAGGTATATAAAGTTCCAAATATTTTTTTATTTTCTGCAAAAGAAATAGTTTTTTTAGCCAGAATGACCTGGTTGAGTTTTACAAGCATCCTCATTTTTGTAAATACGGCGATAACAGTTTTTCTTCAGTTCTCTCTTTACCCAAGCAGTTGGGAATGTAATATATTCTACTGCAGATATTTCATCTGGCCTATTTTAAATTGTGAATCTCAAACTGCTACCTCTGTTTATTTAATAACTATCTAATGATATTTCTAGCTGTTATATTTTGGCAAACTGTCTCCAAATGCAAGATTCTTCTACAAAGTACCAGCGTTTTTCGAAGAATATAAGATGATATCTTCGAATACACATTTTAAAATAGTTTAAAAACTTGGAGAGCTTTATATAACAGTATTCTTTTATAATTCAAGACTGCGTAGAGTCTACAATATGAAGTAATTACATAAACAATAGCTATATACAATAATACGAGGGCCGTTCTCTTTTCGTTGAGCCTAGTAAAGTAAAACACAGTTTATTTGGAGTAATTCCAAATAAAGTGGCGACCAACTTTTGGTTTCGGCTTTTTTCAAAGGCCAAAACTGACGATTGTTGATTTTTTCAGGTTCATAGCAGTATACCCATGTTTCATCACCTTTGATGGTGTACACTAAATTAGACAATCCACGGTCAAAGCGATCTCTTGTAGATCTGCACCATCTTTCAAGGTCTACGTTCATGTAAAATAGTTTTAATTGCTTTCACACCAATCTTTAAAGTTGTTTGAATGATTCTGACAGTAATCTGCCGGTCCTCTTTAATCCTGTTCTGAATAGGATCGATATTTTTTCTGCAACTGCTTTTTTTGGCTTCTAAACTCAAAAACGTCATTTAAGTAAAGTCGACAATGTTTAAATTCATTGTTTTAAGCAAGTAGAATACGACTTGCCATTAAACACTCGATTAATTTTCCCAAAACATTCTTTAAGGTTTAAGCCACGCTTGAAATTGCAAAAAATCACAGCCTGTTCCTTTCCATCAGTTATTGGCGAAATGATTACTTATGTAACTTTCAAATAATCGGGTATATTTGACAACGCTCACTAACTAAACTTGTAAATAACTAGATTTAAATATCAAAATTTGTTGCAAAAAATATCATCGCCTTCTAGATAGGCTCAGCGGAAAGAGAACAGCTCTCGTGATTCGTAATGTAACGATAGTCTAATTTATTTATAGTTTTATTTATTTAAAACACACAATTTACAATTTATTTCAGACGTACTATTTAATTTATATAATACTTAGACACTAACTAACAATTCTAATTTATTTCTTACACTTTTACTTTTCATTTCAATGCTCTGTACTAAACTGTCTATATTCAACTTACTACCGTCTTCAAACTCGCCGTCCGTCCGTCCGTCCGTCTCCGTCCGTCCGTCCGTCCGTCCGTCCGTCCGTCCGTCCGTCCGTCCGTCCGTCCGTGCGTCCGTCCGTCCGTCCGTCCGTCCGTCCGTCCGTCCCTCCGTCCCTCCGTCCCTCCGTCCCTCCGTCCGTCCCTCCCTCCGTCCGTCTCTCCATCCGTCTGTCCGTCTGTCCGTCTGTCCGTCTGTCCGTCTGTCCGTCTGTCCGTCTGTCCGTCTGTCCGTCTGTCCGTCTGTCCGTCTGTCCGTCTGTCCGTCTGTCCGTCTGTCCGTCTGTCCGTCTGTCCGTCTGTCCGTCTGTCCGTCTGTCCGTCTGTCCGTCTGTCCGTCTGTCCGTCTGTCCGTCTGTCCGTCTGTCCGTCTGTCCGTCTGTCCGTCTGTCCGTCTGTCCGTCTGTCCGTCTGTCCGTCTGTCCGTCTGTCCGTCTGTCCGTCTGTCCGTCTGTCCGTCTGTCCGTCTGTCCGTCTGTCCGTCTGTCCGTCTGTCCGTCTGTCCGTCTGTCCGTCTGTCCGTCTGTCCGTCTGTCCGTCTGTCCGTCTGTCCGTCTGTCCGTCTGTCCGTCTGTCCGTCTGTCCGTCTGTCCGTCTGTCCGTCTGTCCGTCTGTCCGTCTGTCCGTCTGTCCGTCTGTCCGTCTGTCCGTCTGTCCGTCTGTCCGTCTGTCCGTCTGTCCGTCTGTCCGTCTGTCCGTCTGTCCGTCTGTCCGTCTGTCCGTCTGTCCGTCTGTCCGTTTGTCCGTCTGTCCGTCTGTCCGTCTGTCCGTCTGTCCGTCTGTCCGTCTGTCCGTCTGTCCGTCTGTCCGTCTGTCCGTCTGTCCGTCTGTCCGTCTGTCCGTCTGTCCGTCTGTCCGTCTGTCCGTCTGTCCGTCTGTCCGTCTGTCCGTCTGTCCGTCTGTCATTCTGTCCGTCTGTCCGTCTGTCCGTCTGTCCGTCTGTCCGTCTGTCCGTCTGTCCGTCTGTCCGTCTGTCCGTCTGTCCGTCTGTCCGTCTGTCCGTCTGTCCGTCTGTCCGTCTGTCCGTCTGTCCGTCTGTCCGTCTGTCCGTCTGTCCGTCTGTCCGTCTGTCCGTCTGTCCGTCTGTCCGTCTGTCCGTCTGTCCGTCTGTCCGTCTGTCCGTCTGTCCGTCTGTCCGTCTGTCCGTCTGTCCGTCTGTCCGTCTGTCCGTCTGTCCGTCTGTCCGTCTGTCCGTCTGTCCGTCTGTCCGTCTGTCCGTCTGTCCGTCTGTCCGTCTGTCCGTCTGTCCGTCTGTCCGTCTCTCCGTCTGTCCGTCTGTCCGTCTGTCCGTCTGTCCGTCTGTCCGTTTGTCCGTTTGTCCGTCTGTCCGTCTGTCCGTCTGTCCGTCTGTCCGTCTGTCCGTCTGTCCGTCTGTCCGTCTGTCCGTCTGTCCGTCTGTCCGTCTGTCCGTCTGTCCGTCTGTCCGTCTGTCCGTCTGTCCGTCTGTCCGTCTGTCCGTCTGTCCGTCTGTCCGTCTGTCCGTCTGTCCGTCTGTCCGTCTGTCCGTCTGTCCGTCTGTCCGTCTGTCCGTCTGTCCGTCTGTCCGTCTGTCCGTCTGTCCGTCTGTCCGTCTGTCCGTCTGTCCGTCTGTCCGTCTGTCCGTCTGTCCGTCTGTCCGTCTGTCCGTCTGTCCGTCTGTCCGTCTGTCCGTCTGTCCGTCTGTCCGTCTGTCCGTCTGTCCGTCTGTCCGTCTGTCCGTCTGTCCGTCTGTCCGTCTGTCCGTCTGTCCGTCTGTCCGTCTGTCCGTCTGTCCGTCTGTCCGTCTGTCCGTCTGTCCGTCTGTCCGTCTGTCCGTCTGTCCGTCTGTCCGTCTGTCCGTCTGTCCGTCTGTCCGTCTGTCCGTCTGTCCGTCTGTCCGTCTGTCCGTCTGTCCGTCTGTCCGTCTGTCCGTCTGTCCGTCTGTCCGTCTGTCCGTCTGTCCGTCTGTCCGTCTGTCCGTCTGTCTCTTACGAAATATTGAAATTAAGGGAATATTTGAGTAGAACGCATTTCCAAAAAAAACAAAAAAATTCCATCGGAAAAGTGTTTTTTTGCTGACTTTCCGGTGTGAACAACTAATTTTTTTGACATCGGATTTCCTACAAATTGATAAAAACAAAAAAAAGCTTTTCCAAATGTTTCCGGTTTTTCCGAAAAAAACCCGTATGCTACTCGAATTTCCTCACAATCTTACATATAAATTTTCCCGATAACTTAAACACTTTTTTCCCAGAAAAATTGTGGCAATGGAAGTAGGTACTAATAAAATTAACAATTTTTTGTGTGCTTCTATAAAAGCTTGCTAGTTGCATAATTGTGCGACATGACTCTCTAGCTCGTAACTAATCTACAATTTTTTCAGATTTTCTGTTTCCTATTTATCAACCTTTTTTTAACAACCATTTAACAATATTATTAACTGCTCAAATTGCACTCGACTAAATTGTTGTCCATTAACTTATTTTAATTATGATAACGAAAAACAATCTTTAGAAAACACAAGGCCATATCACCAATCATTCGTTGCATGTTCAACACATCAACAAATGCATTTGAGTTGACCATTGTTTATAGTAGATAGGTACTGAGTGTTGCTATTTTTATCATGTCGGAGAAATTATTGGTACCTATCGATCGCGAGTTATTGGAGTTTTACGCTTTTTATATCGGAATTTTGGTCTTAAAATGTCTATTTATGATCGTTCATGTTGGATTAAGCAGAGTTTATTACAGGGTGAGTATAAATCGTTCTAGTTTCTACGAGCTTTCATATATTATGTTCTAGTAAGATATAGATTATCGATTATTTCAAATTATTCATCAAGAGTAATCGGCATCACAAAATACGACTCATCTCAATCATAATATCCGATTCCGTTAATTATCTTCTACTTCTAAAGAAATTGTATGTCCCAACTAACCCAATTGTTGCATCTATTAAAGATAAGCTTCAAAAATCGAAGTAAATTTTCTGCGAGTGCCATCTCATATTGGTAAAGGCGGAAATGAAAAAGTGGCTAGTACAGCTACCAGCCTCCCATCTTTATCAAGTAAGGACACCACACCAACCATTATAAAACAATTTTTTAAATTAAAAATATTAAACTCCAGGAACAGCTTCTAGCAAAGCATTCTCATTGATTTAAAAGATGTTCTATATATTTCTTATAGATTAAAATAATAGCTCAAATTGATTGGAACATGTTTGTTGGTATTAGGATTTTACCCAAACATATCCCTTGAATATGGCCCGTTATGACGCCTACTTGTATAATTGTCTGTATAAAGCTGTAGATAACTCTTAGAACAGTAATCAGCGGCGATTTTATATAAGTAAATTATTTGCTGTTTCAGTCAATTAGTGCAGGTCGTGGTAATTGCTAAATGGTAATGTCATTTCTATTGAAACTAACAATGGTAGTGCTAAAAGTTTCCTATAAATTTTATATCTGTGTGTATTATAGAAAGAGTGAAATAGAAAAAACTTTAAGGTGCGTATAAATATGGCGAGCCGCGCCTGAGCTGAGCCATTAACGAGCCCAGTTCGTCAGATTTATATCAAAGAGTAGAAATACCTGAGGGGTAGTCAGAGCGAGAAAATAAAATCAAGATTTAAAGGGATTTTAAATGGACTCCATAGGTGGCAGCTGATTATTTAAGTAGTATGTTGTCATAATGGGATTTTAATACGGTTATAAGCTATACGTCTCAACTAGTATTAATTGATTTTATTTGTTTGGTATTAGATTTGTTTATATTGACATAATTGAAAAATTTTATGTTTTACGACTAACAACATTTATAAATTGATCCACAAACTTTTCTAACAACGACCCAGGTACCATTATTGTAAAAATGTATAGTAATAATTCATTCATAAAGACTATTCTATTTCACCGGCTTAAAAGAAGTAAGACGAAGACAACGTTGATTATAATTTTTTCTAAAGAGCGGTGTTTTGCTTTATGAGAACAAAATATCCGAGAAGATGTCGGACTAAAATGAATATCTCAAAATAAAATTATTTAATATTTAATTTAACTTTCTTGTAGAGAGTTTAGGGGTTGTTTCTTTTTTAAAAATTTTGGGCGTTTTTCTAATAAATTAAAAACAATATTCATCGTATCGTTCAATCTGTAACTGTAAAATATTTACCTGTCAGATCCAACCAACTTGTTATATTGCCTAGTAATGGTCTCATCAGTGGCAGCTTGTGATAATTTAAAATGTTCACTTTTTCCAATAATTTTTTCACTTGTAAATTCGGATCAAAACTTTGTACAAGAGTCAATATCGCTGTTTTTTTTATTATTTGAGTTTGTATTAAGTGTAGTTATTATTATCAACATCATACTGTTTTCAAGCACTACAACTATTAATAAATGAATATTTTAGTTAGTGTAATATTTGTTTTGTTTTTAATACGTTGAAAACCATCTATTATCATTATTAGTTAGTAAACTGACTTTTCTTCAAAATTTGAGATTATTTTTAAATATATATCAGGTTATGTAGAAAGCTTGACATTGGTTTTTGTGTAAAAAATTTTATATAAAACTTTACCTACCATTTTTTAGTTTTTATTGTAAGTTTATCATTTTCACAATTTGCCACAGAGGTCAAATAAAAAATATATTTTTTAAATACCTTTTATTGGCAAATAAAATATGAACTAAAATGTTTTAAGTGTTTATTTTATAAGATCAGTCCCATCACAATACATAATATTACACAGACACAATCTAGAATAAAGACATATAATGCCTGGCATTCTAAATTATACTCTTCTCAGTTTAACAGACCCCCTTAATCCCCATTTTCAAGCAGATTGTTTTTACAATCAGTAGGCCTCATCTCCTTATAGAGCTTGATTTTTACTAAAAATTTCATGTTGATATCGCTTTTCATTTTTGATTTTTTTTTTAATTTCAACCCCCCTTAAATCCTCCATATTTAATCAGTTTTTTTTATAATTAAAGGACTTCTTCTCCTTTTTGAGATTGAAGTTTGCTAAAAATTTATATCATTTTTCGTTTTTCAGTTAGGATTTTTTTTTTATATTTTAACCCCCTTAACTCCCCAATATATTCATATTTTTTTCAGTGTCAATAGGCTTTATCTTCTTATAAAGCTTAATTTTTACTAAAAATTTCATGTTTTCGTTTTTAATTTTGGATTTTTTTTAATTTCAACCCATCTTAACGCCCTATTTTTATTCAGATTTATTAAAAATCAATAGGCTTTGTCCCTATATAGAGCTTGATTTTTGCTTAAAATTTTCAAGTTGATATCATTTCTCGTATTCGCCTTATCGTGCAGACAAAAAACGTGACATCGGACAGACAGGTAAAGTAAACCTATAATACTCTTCACAGAATGAAGAGTAGAAAAAAAAATTATAAGGCAAAATAAACAATTTAAAAAGATAAACAATAATATTCAACTTCTTTTATCAAAGGATACTAAAAGTTTGAAATAGCAGCACATAATTGAACATTTACAGAAATCTGTGAACTAAACTAGTGAGATACACATCGTAAAATGTTATCACGCTTAATTCTCCATATGACCCTTTCTAAGTGTATTTAACAGCATATTCCAAAGTATTCTTGCTCTCGCTCTGTCCTACCCCATTAGCATGTCCATTTTTACTAAAAAATAATGTGTTTTAATAAATAATAGAATAATAGTATTTTGTCTAAATAGGTAAATCGGCTTCATCTGTATTTTCAAATTATTGTTTAATTGTAGATAATATATTAATGTTTTGATACGTACTTATAGGATTGATTAGCCAGAGCATGTAGATATGTGGGATGTGACTTGTTAAGTGCCCAATCAAAATCACAATTTATGTTTGATACTTATTGCTTTTTTCGAGACATACTTTATTAACAACTGTAAACTAATTTACCAACAGCCTTATTTTTATTTAATACCTGCAGTGATCCTAATTACCATAACATCTAATATTTTTGAAAATAATAAATTATACAAACAAGGCAATAAAAAAATGTCATTAGAATAAAAGATTTCAGATTTGTATGCAACACACAATCTACGCTAGGCTAGGGGGTGACATGGTTGATAATTACAGGCAGACATAACTTTATATAAACTATTTAAATGTACATACCATTTCTTGGATAATGCAACGCAAAGTTTCTCATTATGAGAATATTAAATTCAAATGGTTGATTCATTTTTACGGTTGACATTGGTAAAGTGAAAAACCATTTGACTCTTTTTCTTATCTCCTATATCCAACGTTTATTGTACGTTTCCATATTTATTTATTTATCAGAATAATCCAATTTTTCCTTTCAGCCGGTTTTATGGGATACACAAAAAAAACAAATGTTTAAACAAATGCGTTTAAACCTTCTTCAATATGGGTAATAATAAGGCGTTTTCCCTTTCCAGATGGGGCTTTTAAAACTGTCGATAAACTATCTACAAAAGCTTGATGTTTGTTTTTTACATTTAAATCCTGCCAAATTTTTGGCACAGTATGTCCTTTATTTAACCAGGTTTCATCTGTATAATATATTTTTCTGTCATCTCTTCGAAACTCTGCTATTGTTTTGAGATATTTTCTGCGCCATAAAATGATTTCCTTTTTTCAGTAAAGGTACTATTCCGCTTTCTCTTTAAATACCTGAAGTTCATTTCACGCAAAGTACGTAATAAAGCACGTCTTAATATTTTTGGGAGATTTTCATTAGATTGAAGAGGAAGCAATTTTCTTTACAGTTAGTAATTCCTTTTTAAATTTTATATTAAAAAGGAATTACTGCAAGACGAATGACTTGTTTGCTTATATCTTCCAATTCAATTTTTTTTCTTTCTCTAGTGTCAGCCTTCGAAGTATTAATATCGTTTGTTTCATCCCTTATTTATAAACGTAAAAGAGCCTTCCACTAATATTAGAGAGATCAGGTTATACCTAACCTGTCTATTACAAACAATTCCGATCTCTGCTTTATGAAATCCCGATCGGCGCGACTATGACACTGCTTCGACAATAACATCCAAGAAAATTTCAAAGGCGTTGTTGCCAATAACGTCGCTTTAATCTGCGACGATAGTATGGGGGTCATCCATTAATTACGTGAGGTATTTTTGAGGATTTTTTGACCCCCCTCCCCCCTTGGTGAGATTTCGTAAGATTTTCCTCAACTCCCTCCCCCCTTACCTAATCTCACGTGAGATTTTTTAAAATTTGTGTTTTGGGTGCAAATACGTTGGATTATTAAAAAAATAAAAAGAATATGGTCTATTACTTTTATTTAAGACTTGCAAAGACTAGTATTTGAGAATATTGCCGTAATATAAAATTTCTAGAAACATTCTTTACTTTAATTTAACTTTACTTTTGCGCAATTTTACACCGTTTTCTACTAAAAAAAAGTGAGATTTGGAAAGATTTAGCTTGATCCCCTCCCCCCCTTGAACACCTCACGTAATTAATGGACGTCCCCTATGGATCTCGGACATTATCTACCGTTAGATAAAGATGCAAACTACACGCTGACAACGTTCCACTTTTTCTCGAACTTTTAAACGCTAGGAAGACGTTTGAACAGTTTTAAAATAGACCAGTCAAATTATTTCAACAAAATGATATCTGTTCTGGAAGTAAATAGTAGACAAATGAATTAGTTATTCAAAAAAATTTATAAAGATAGCAATCTCAATTTTTTTGAAACTATCTGAACCTAGTCTTTTAAGAGT